GGGTATTTTGCCATTTGTAAAGATCAGAAATGATCAATTGTTTACTAAGATTGCCTGGTTTTAATTGCCATGGTCTACCGAAGAGATCAAAACAGAAAATCTTCTAGTCCCTTTCTTGAAGTTTTTTGTTTTTGTTTTTAATTCTTTCATTTCTCTTTTATGATTGTTGTAGCAGATTTTTTTGTTTTTCCAAGAAGGCATTTTAAGGCCAAAAGTATATATCTACTTTTAGCTTTATAATGTCTTATTCTATTTTTTAGTATATTTCTATTTTATAAGTATCATCAAAGTTTTTCTCTTACTCTTCTGGGGAAAGCTGAAAGAATTTTCCCTCCTAGATTCATCTTCTCTAATTCCAGCTACGACTTGTGATTTTTCTTCATTCTTTGGATATAAAATTACTTTTGTTTGGGAAGATAAGAAATCTGACTTACAGACATTCATGGTCTGATCCTGCCCTACCTAACCAATCTTATCATTTTCTGTTCCCCCGCAAGAAAATTTCATTCTAATCAACTCAGTCTCCTCATTTACCCCCTTCATTCCCCTTCTCTAATTTTTTTTTCCCCCTTTTTCTCTCCTATCCCTTGGGGGAGTGGTTCTTTATCGTAACTACACATGAGTTTTTATCTGTGGAGCTTAAAAAAAAAAAAAGGCTGTGGATGATAGAGTCCTTAATTTACTGGACTAGAAAGAATTACTGAACTAGGATTAACTTTTTTCTCTCTTGTTCTATTCTGAAGACACTTTAAATCCTATCTCTATGGGCCGGCCCCGTGGCTTAGCGGTTAAGTGCGCGCGCTCCGCTACTGGTGGCCTGGGTTTGGATCCCGGGCGCGCACCAACACACCGCTTCTCCGGCCATGCTGAGGCCGCGTCCCACGTACAGCAACTAGAAGGATGTGCAACTGTGACATACAACTATCTGCTGGAGCTTTGGGGAAAAAAAAGGAGGAGGATTGGCAATAGATGTTAGCTCAGAGCCGGTCTTCCTCATCAAAAAGAGGATTAGCATGGATGTTAGCTCAAGGCTGATCTTCCTCACAAAAAAATAAATAAATAAATCTTATCTCTAGCATTAGTTGAATACGTGTTATGGCTAAGACACCAAGGTAAGTGATGAGGGGACAAAAGATGAATAAAACATTTTTGTGATCTCAAAGTAGCTGATAGTTATGAAAACATAATCAGTTTTAAGATATTCTTACTATAAAGCACTTCTGCCTGGGTTGTCAATAAACTCATCATAAAGGGATAATCTGAAGAAGGTATTCTTTTTTTTTTTTCCAGCAGATGTGTGTGTGTACATATATATATATGTGCTTATTGTATGCTAGGCATTGTTCTAGGCTCTGGGGGTGCATCAGATAACAAAACAGGACAATATCCCTGCCTTCCTATACTTTATTCTACTGGAGGAATGGGAAAGACATATGCCATTAACAGAATAAACAAAATATATATAGTAGGGTGGTCAGGTGTCCTGCGGAGAAAATAATGTTAGGAAATGGGATAGAAACTGACTCTCTGCTTGTGGGAGTTGGGAGGGATAGGGAGGTTGTTGCCATTAGATGGTCAAAGAACACATTGATAAGATGACATTGGAATAAAGACATGAGTGAAGATGGTAAGGTAGCAAACAGTGTGGAAATCTTAAGAGCATTACAGGAAGAAGGAATACTCAAATACAAAGATCCTGCCTTAGGAGCATACTTGGCATGTTCAGTGAGGCCAAGTATGATTGAAGAGGGGTGGATGAGGGGAAGAATAGTAAGAGGTGAGGACAGACAGATAGCAGAGGACTAGGTCATGTAATGTTTTGTAGATTGTTGTAAATGCTTTGGTTATTTTTGCTTGGGAAGCTGTTGGAGGGTTTTGAGCAGAAGAATGCCATGTGATCTGAAGTTATAGTTTTAAAAGATTACTCTAGCTGCTGTGCCATTTTAGAAGTAAAACAGGAGAGACCATTTCAGAGACTATTGGAATAAAGAGAGATACGATGGTGGCTTGGAACAGGGTGATAAATGGTAGAGAAGGTGAGTACTTATCTGATTCTGCGTGTATTTTGATTTGGAGATGGATTGGATGTCAGGTGTAAGAAAAAGAGAGTCGAGAATGAACTAAAGTTTTTGGTTTGAGCAGCTTAAAGATTGGAGTTCATCATTTACAGAGATAAAGAAACTATAGGAAAAACCGGTTTTGGGGGTATTAGGGCTAGGTCAGAAATTAGTCTTTGAACATGTTAAGTTTGAGATGCCTATTAGTTTTCTTACTAGAGACGTTTAGTGGGCAGTTGGACAAAAAGAGTATGAAGTTGGGAGGACAGAGCTGTATTTAAAAATTGGGGCTTCATCAGTCCATATTTGGCATATAAAGTCACAAGATTGGATAAGATCACCTAGGGAGTAAATGTAGCTAGAGAAAAGAAGACAACTAATACTTTTGGGGGATGCGAGAAATTAGCAAAGGAGTCATAAAGGAAAATTTTATAATGTCTGACTTGAGAAAAAATTTGAAACTTCTATCGTTGTTTCTCAAACTTTAATATGAATCATTTTGTTAAAGTTCAGTAGGTCTGAGGTGGGGCCTGAGGTTCTGCTATTCTAACAAACTTCCAGGAGATTATGCTGCTGCTTGTCTATGGACCACACTTTGAGTAGCAAGACTTTATGTGACAAAAGAGACATAAAGTGAAAAACAAGGGAAGACTGCAACATTTGTAGGAGAATAATAATTAATATCCAGAATTTCCAGAATAAAGGGTACCTGTAAATCAACAAGAAAAACAATAGAATTAAAGGGAGAAACAATATGGATAGGGAATTTTCCAAAAAGAAACTTAAATGGCCAATACACGTGATAAATGCTCAACTTTCTGAGACATACAACTTAAAAACAACAAGATCACCTTTTCCCCTTCAGATTGGCAAAAGTTTAGAAGTTTGATAATACCCAGTGTTGGTGGGATTGTGGGGAAAAGGGTGGACTCGTACCCTGTGGATAGGAGTATGACTTGGTACATTTTTTCATTTGGAAGGCCATTTGGCATATTTATTAAATTTTTAAATGTGCATATCCTTCAATTCAGGAACCCTATATCTTGATATCTAAAAGGAAAACTTGCACCTTTGCCCAGAAAGGCAGTTCAGAATTATTCATTGAAGCGTTGTTTGAAGTTGAGAAAAATAGAATAATCTAAATGTCCTTGGGCCGGCCCCGTGGCTTAGCGGTTGAGTGCTCGCGCTCCGCTGCCGGCGGCCCGGGGTTCGGATCCCGGGCACGCACCAACGCACCGCTTCTCCGGCCATGCTGAGGCCGCGTCCCACATGCAGCAACTAGAAGGATGTGCAGCTATAACATACAACTATCTACTGGGGCTT